AGCAGTGTAATAAGCAAATGCGTTAGAAGTGCCTATAACGCTTAATGCGATTTTATTCCAGATTCCCGAATAGCCTTCTCGGCAATAAAGCCAAACGAGAAAAATATTATATGCAAGATCTGAACGAGTACTTTTTCGACCGACATCGATCAGCGTAAGTGAGCTGTTTCCAGCATTCTGAATTTGTGTTGTGACAATAACATTGGCTTGACGTGTCCCGAGAATTTGTTAGTAGATGACCGGATTGCTAAGTTTACCCTGGTAGTAACAAAGCGTTAGCAGTTCAGAAATTTGAAAAGAACTGGTAAGAGGGGGATGTTCTAGCCTGTTGGTGAAGCTTTGCCTTTAGTTGCTTCTTGATCATATTATCCTTCCTCTAAGAAAATTTGCTCAAATCTTTTCAATTACCTTTCATTTGTTTAAAAAGTATTCTAATATCCACTTAGTCATAAATAAAAAAGGAGCTAATTCGACTATACTTGAACTCCACATAAATTGAAGATTCAGGGAGCAATTTATAAACCCAATCTCAACCTATTTGGAAACTTGTGACCTCCGCTAAGGGTCCCGAACGATAGGAAACAAGAATTTGAGGTCTCCTACTGGTTTTTGTCATGTAAAAAGCTAGAAGCTCTGAAAGGTCTTTTATATATTGAAAAAAGAGAAATTGTATATCTTGCATAAAAACACCCTTCCTTCCCTAAACATATTAGTTTGTGGTGAAGGAATAAAAGCATTATTTTTTTTATGAAAATCCCCGCCTTTTCTTTGAGCTGCAAAAACAAAACAATTTTAATATTGCATAGTCGAATAAGTTCGTGCGAGTTCTTTTTAAGGCATAGGAATTCTAAAAAGTAAAAGTTATGTCGTGGATTTGTACACCTTCAGAAAAAGGTGATCTTGCTCTACAAAAGGGTTTGAAGCGGCGGAGTTGTCAAATGTCTTCGAAGTCATTCAGGGGAAATTCCGTAGTACAAAATAGAACTATCGAAGAAGAAAATACTTCTATTAATAGTTACGGTAGGTAGACAATGAGCGGGCCAGAATCCAATGCTGATTGCAAAGTGATCTATATAGCTGGATTATCGTTGGTCACGAAGGTCATATTTATTTGCATGTTAGGTTTTGCAAGATAGGCGCAAAAATGAGGAAATTTCCTTTCAGAACAATTATTTTGATGACTCCATCGTTTACCGACCGCATTTTTATGTAAAAGCTTATTGAGCGGAATGGATGTCATTGGCGTGACCAGAAGGCCAGTTAATTCAAGAGGCAGCAGCCTCTTCAGCCATATCAAAGAGTTCGATTCATTCATTGTCTACCTACCGTAACCCCATAAGTCGCTGTATGGAACGACTTGATGAATCGCCATGCTAGATGACCTTAATGGGTGAAATTAAAGCAGAATCTAAATTTTTTTGGGATTCGAAAAAGTGCCATTATCGGAGTGGTTCTTCCATTCTCTGAAACTGCTATTTTAATGGTTTCTAAACCAAACTTCAGCCAACTCCAACGAGATACTGTTGGCTTTGATTATCAGGCAAATATATTGTAGAGCACAATTTCTAATGGTATATGAAGCAATGTCCAATTTTTGATCGCGGAATTTTTATGGGCTTGACAAAACCGCATAAACTTATCCAGCAATCGCGTAGCTCCTACTAACCGTGGAATATCAATAGAATACGAATGTATTACATATTGAGAGGTGCATGAAAGGCAAGACTTCACTCGTAACACCCATTTTTACTAGACTGAAAGTTAATATATGTGATAGATGTGCAAATCTGTCTACATTTTAGTGAAGAAGACTTCGATTGGCAAATTGGCGCAAGTCTGTAAGCGAATGTGTGCGAACCCTCACTTCCCCCTCTTTCCACCACGCTCTCTTCGTGACGTTCTTTCGTTTATTGGGCGTAGACATACTCTACGCATTGCAGTATTAACCCTTCACGTTTTACCAGCACGTAAAAAAAAACCTTAGTGTTCCTATCCTCACATAGTCAATTATTGCAGGTTTGAGTCAATTCTCTATATTTATCAGAGTGGAGGAAGAGTTAAACGACCGGAGTCAATACCGATTGATGTATTCCTTAGGGAAATGCGGTTTTTCCAGGTTTGTTAAACAGCTACAACTTATTAGGCAAGGGACATCCCTGTCAAAACACAAGATTTGGGTCAGCTAATTATGTGACGACTAATCATTCAACTGCTACGTTCTCCTGAAGCATGTCGGAAGAGATTAAAAGTTATGTTGCATCTAAATCTATCACATTCAAGCCAATTAGTAATGAAGGACTGATTTTGGTGACAATTTACTGAAGTATTTCACCGAG